CAAGAAAGGCCGAGAAATCGATCATAATAAATCGTTGGCGAACAAATGACGTGCAGAATCGAACGGGCGATTTTTGACGACAAAGAGTAAGGTAGATTTTGGTCGAGTTCATCGTCAAACTGATCGACATGCTAAGATGGCATTTGTGAGTTTTTAACCATTTCTTCAACAGCAACGACAGTAACAGCACCAGCAATCGAAAGACACAAAGTGAGGCTTGTAAGAAACAAGAGATCAGCATAATAAAATGTTAAGACAAAGGAAGAAACCCCTGTAGCAGAAAATCATCACACAAATCTGTCGAAAAGTCTAGAACGATGCTTACCCTTTCGGAAATTCACTGCACAACAACCACATGACCTGGCTTTCCAGTAAGCCAGTTCATCGACCTCTATTTATATTCGATGTACATCACCTCCCCTTCGATAGTTGTCGTTATTCNCGTTATTCTGCGACAAAACTTAAGTCCACAGTGAAAAATAGTTTGATGTCTGAAGAGAATTCGATCTGAAACATCACTACTTTTCAGATCGGAACACGTCCTTCTTGGCTTAAAACGTACACTAGGACGAGTACCGAACAAGTGAAACCTAAAGCCACGATGACCAGTGAAGACTTTTTGAGTGACCAACTAACTAAACGAAAGGCGAACTACGGACAAACCGGAAGAGAACTATCACCAAGCATCCGTGAAAACCAATCGACAGTCATGAGGCATGACCCACTATCGTTGATTTCCCTCCACGAAGATCAAGAAGGATATCAATTTGACTTCGAATCAGTGAAAACCATCGACTAAGCCAGGGAATTTCTCGAGGCTCGGCACCCTTCAACCAACTCCAAAAAATAGGCACATCGAACTGGTTCACGTGTACACGCGAATGCAACGCAAGGATCAGCGGTCACGACGTGACCTGAGATTGGACCGAAACCGCAGCCAAGACGGAAGAACAACCCCTCCCCCCCCCTAACACCAGCTCAACGGCAAACCAGGGATAAAAAGTAGTCGATGACGAACAACATTTATCTCTAGGTAAACGCTACAAACAGGTCACGGCCACTTAACAAGCACTGAAAATGGCACCTTGGATGGTGATGAAACATTTGAGAACCAATTGCCATACCCGTCTAACAAGCGAAATTGAATTTGGTGGTTA